TTATATTGGGCGGGTTCGGTTTTGAATTTTTAAATCCGCTAAAAACCGAACCCAACCGAAAATGAGATAAGTTTAAATTTTTATTACTTTTGTATAACTAAACAACAATGGTCCAAATTTAAAAGTCTTTATTTCAAGTATAATATAGCCATCAATTTGTAACTTATTTTTTTTCTTTTTCTCATAACTTAGATATTTATTTTGTCTTCTCCTTCCTCATTCAACTTCTCAACACACTAGTCCATTTTTAGAGTTATCTTTTTGCTTCTTTCTTTGTCTTTCTTTTCCATCTTCTTATCTCCATTTTGAGTACATTTTGTGTGACTGTGATTTCTTATGGTTTTGTAATCTAACTTTATATTTCTTTTCCATGTAACAACTATGAATTTTGTTATCTTTTATTTTTGCTTCTTTAGTTTGTAAATGTTTCAACTACGAATCTATTTACACCATCTATTGTCACCTTCATTCTATTTTTATACACTATTTTAAAAATATTTTTTATCGTTTTAAGCTTCATCTTCGTTAAGATAAATTGGTCTACAAAAAAATTCAAACCCGATTATACCCACCCGCTTAAATCCGAATCCGTTTCAACCCGAACCGCCTCAAATCGAAAGCTCAGTCGGTCGGATATGGGTCACATTTTTTCAAAGTCGGTTTACAACGGGTTGGACATTTTTCACCCGAACCCGACCAAACCCACCCGTTGCTCACCCCTACTCAAAACGATAATTTAAAAGTTTTAATTAAAAGGAAAATAATGACAAAATTAAAAAAACTGAAAGATTAAGGAGAAAAGTTCTGAAGGATCAATATAAAATATAAAAACTCAAACTCAAAACAATTAAATTAAGCTTGTAATAACTAATAAGTCATGACATGACTAAACCCTTAAATTGTATGTGCAGATGAGAAAGCTGACTATAATAACGTTAAGGTGTCTTAGAAGTTAAAATATCTCCCAATCCCATTGCAAGAGGCCAGCCTGCTACAGTCTGCATTTCTTGGTTCCTTTTATATATATATATATCAGAAATGATGCATCCTCCGAGAGATTTTAGTCAAAAAATCTTCCAGAACGTTTAAAATTTTAAAATAATAAAATCAAAAAAATAATTTATTTCAAATATTGTACAGATATAAATCACTGAATGGTTTGGAACTTTGATTCGGAGTCCAAAGCATTACTCTATATATATATGGTTGAAAAGTTTTTTTTTCTCTTATTTGTTTTTTAATGTGTTCTTTTTCTATTAAGAAACGAAAAAATAACACTTTTCTCTAATAGAATAATTTGATGAACCATGACTCAAGTGAAGCAACATCAGGAGGGAAGCTGGTGATTGGTGTCTCATATTTTGGATGGCACATACATACGGAGACACATGACCATTGTGAAGAAACATCTTGCCCTGTTTTAATCGATGACTTTGTGGAATTGCTCATACACAAGTTTTACCAGGATTCACTCCTCCTGTATGGCTGTATGTCATTATTTTATTCATTCATTTCAGGTGACTCTGCACCTGATCCCAAATCTTACTACCTAAATTGTTAGTGTCTTCTATAATCATAATTGGAATTTGATCCTCGTGAAAAAAGTCATGTTATAGCTTGTTGTCAAATTAAGATCAAGAGCATCTTTCTCCGCAAAACAGACGAAATCAGATGATGACTACTGTACTAGTATTGATGTATTAATTACCAATTTATTGGATGGTACTTTTTTATTATCATCATTTGCGATGCTTTTCTATTGATATATATGTGTCAATTAGAGTGATAATTCATTACAACTTAGATGTAACTTTTTGATAATAATGCATAGACTAAATATTACAATCAATACAATGATGAAACTATTAGTGTGTTGAAATCATGCTTATTGTCATTAGAAAACTACATTACTTTTTTCGTTGGTATCACTAATTTGTTTCTTACTCTGGCAAGGCAGCGACAATTATAAGCAAGTTTTTCCAAATGTTGTCAAATCTAAGTTGACGAATTCCTAGCTCATATGATTATCTTTTTCTGCATAAATATTCTTCTACACATTACACTTGGCTCAATATATATCTTAAAGGAAACTTTCTATTCTTAAATAATTCCCGAAAGAGTTAACAAGGTTTCTTTATTCATATATTCCCAGGTTTCTTTATTCATATATTCCCTTAAGTGTGCATATTCCTAGCTCATTATGCATGGAATCTCAAATTTAATGAAATTTTGTTCCTTATTATTGTTAAATACTTTTAATCCATGAATTGGGTAATATCACTATCTTTCTGATCTACAATCATCTGTCCCAAATTTAATGCTTTCTGCCAAAAGCACAATCAAGTTTTGGTGTCTTTTACTAGTGTCATGACCTTGTTACCTTTCATTTGACTTTTCCTTGACTGAACAATAGAAGGAGGGGATTGGTAATTGGATTTTGACGTAGCATATTCAGTTCTTTCAACTGTCTAGTCGCCAAAACACACGTTGGAGACGTTTAAATTTAAAGACTAACTAAATCTCCTTTCTTTTATAATTAGTGTGTTATTTTTATTTGCGATGTCATGTTTCTCACCATGTGTCACGCTTTCAGGGCACTCTTTGAAGATGAAGATGATTGATGGAAACAAACATGAGTTAACTTGCATTGGATTTGGTTTTGATATTGGGTTTATTTCCACTGTGGCTGATAGCTGAGTAAATCCATCAATTATAGGTCCAGAAGTTTATTATTATGAGGCTCTCAAATTATTAGTACAAATTGCGAAGTATCTTTTCAATACTTAGTTCCTTCTACTGTACCAACTTGTACAAAAATCATATATATACTTCTAGCTAGTATTCGCAGAGATTAAACTATACAAACTGGGTACTTCTTTAATTATTCTTATGTGGTAATCACGCTCAGAAGGTGTAGCAGTGGTTCGATGGTATAGATTCCTTTTCTCTCTCATACATTTGGCCATATAACAAATAAAAGTTTGTATTGCATATAATAAATACACCCACGAGCAAGGACTAACCTTTGCAGGCAGGAGGGTGCAGAGAGCATAGAAAAGTTGGCACACACATACATGTACTCTGGTCTAAAAGTTTACTGCTGATTCTGTGGTTTGATGCGAGTATTAAAGTGAGTTGCATTATGTGCTTCATTCATAAAATGCTTTCAGAATCTTTTACCTATGTTTGTATATCATACAAGGACCCAAGGGTGCATATGCTTAGCCACAAATGTGTAATAACTTTTTACATGGTTGGTGGACAAATTATTGATGCACTTTTTGGAAAAAGACAGATAATCGGTTGCAATGTCTAGTGCACTGCTTTACTTAATTTTTGCTTGCAACAATTAATGACTTTTTTTTAATATATTATTTTTTATTTATTTAAATAATTTGGATCCCTTTTAATTTATCAAAATGATCCATTTTTTGATTAGGTGAAAAATCAATTACTGAATTTATGGTTTCTCAATAGACTTTTAAAAAAAAATTAAAAGCCCATTGAAAAATTGGTTATTCAATAAGGAATTTCTCCCCTGGATAAAAAATGGATCTTTTTGATAAATAAATAGAGTTCAGATTATTTAAATAAATAAAAACAATATATTAAAAAAAAAGTCACAATTAATCTTTATTAGGTCTTTCCAGTGTGCCACTTTATTATGAGCGTGATAACAGCATTTGATTGCGGATGGAAGCAATAAAAACATGGGATCTCTGTGCAGAAAAGGGATGAAATGAATAGATTGACTTCGGAGTAATAAAAAGTATAGATCATAGTTAACTTTGGGAAGGGTGAAGCAACGAAACTGCGAAGAAATTGTGAACTTAATCTTAGTAAAATCAAGAATAAATCTTTAAATTTGTCTACGAGAAATTTCACAATAGAATCTTTTTTTTTTTCAGCAAGGATTTTATATGCAAAACCTCTATCATAACTCTCGAGGAACTACAAATATTGATGATACCAATCCTTAAAAGACAATCACATTATTAGTCTCTCGAAAAGGACTAATAGTCTAATAATTTTGTCGTTTATAGTGTTACTGACTTACGTGTCGTTTATTAAATTTTTATTCACTAATTAGAGAATTTACTCTATGATCAATCTTTTTCCATTACTCTCGTATATTTTTCCGGGTGATTGGCCACAGGTTACCAGAAAAAAAAAAAAAAAAAAAGGAGAGTCTACAGGATTATTTTTTAGTATATCCAATGAGTTACTTTTAAGATTCTTAAACTTGTGAACTTGTTCTTATCTAGTTAGACTAGTTTCACAATTAGAGCAATTAACGTTATAATTCTCATGCAAGAATAGTTATTTATATAAATAACGGTTCTTAACAATCCTTGAAAAATTATAGATAATTATAAGATTCCTTCTAAATTTTTAAGAATTGTAACATTTGAGACATTTTTCTTTTTGAAGTTGTCAAATCTCATGTGACATTACAAGCTCTAATAAAAATGAGTTAAACAGCTAGCTCTCCACCATATATACATTATTGGAGATCCTCTGTTGCCTATGCATGCAAGTTTACGATGTAAATTTGCAATATGTTTCCAACAAAATCGTAGGCATGTTAAATATCCATCCCATCCCAAAGGTTACAATTTGAGGACAGCGCGGCTTTTAGCCGGATGTGTCGAATCATGATCACCGGCGCACTTTGTCTCCTTCGCATTCGGCAAAACGAATAGGTGTGGTCCAAGCAATAGTGGTATCAAACCAACTGAATCATGTGCCAAATTGAGATTACATAAGGCTGCCATAGTTCCCCCATCAAATATGCAAATGATATGGGAGAATATTAGCACTTTATAGTTTTCAATTAACAAATATCCTTTATATTCCACACCATGATTGAGGCACCAAATGGTAGGTAAAGGGTCAGTCCACTCCAATCTGATAAAAGATGGAGAGTGGGTATAGCCTTGCCCCCACACCATCCACTGATCATTCAAAATCAAAAGCAAACCCAACATCACATACCACTTTATATACACTCCAAACTTCACCCTCTCAGATATCCAGTTTTCAACGTGAGTAAAGTGTATTAAAAATCTTACATAGTTACAATTAGTAGTGGAATCACCATATACAAGTCAATTTTGTAAGAGCAAATTGTTTCCAAACACATTTCCTTAATACTTATCGCCAATCCCAACCCCACCGTGTTCCTTTATAGTCACTGTCACCCCCTTCTTTCTTAAGTGGGCAACACCAACGCAACACAACACAACACCACATCACATGCCATCCAATCTTCTAGAGCCACAAAACACCAAAGGAATGGTGAGAGGAAGGTTTGTTAAAAAACTCAAACTAGTGCAAACCATAACCAACTTAAAACAAGGCATAGTTCTCCAAAGAAAGTCTCCAACCCCATATGAAGACTACAAAGGAAGCAAAAACAACCTATCTGAGCTAGTGGTTGAGGATGGTAATCATTTTGAGGAGGAAGAAGCCACCCTAGGGTCCAAACACACACAACTAGAACTTGCAGAAGCAGAAGAAAAGTTAGTGATGGCATCATGCAACAATGAATACTATTACCCATCTCTGAGTGACTTTAAAGAGCTGTGTCCACCAGGGGGGAACCACTCGATCATTCTATACACAACAAGCTTGAGAGGGATAAGGAAAACCTTTCAGGACTGCAACACGATCCGTTTCTTGCTGAGGAGCTTTAAGATAATGTACCATGAGAGGGACGTGTCGCTGCACATGGAGTTCAGAGAGGAGTTGTGGAAAATCTTGGGAGGAAAAGTGATTCCGCCGAAGCTTTTCATCAAAGGGAGGTACATTGGAGGAGCTGATGAAGTTGTTGGGTTGCATGAGATGGGTTGGCTTGGGAAGTTTCTGGAAGGAACACCGAGAAACTCGAGTGATTCTCCATGCAGTGGCTGCGACAACATGCGATTCGCTATTTGTTCCAACTGTTGTGGCAGTTGCAAAGTGTTCAGCGGCAATAGAGATAACAACGATCGATGTTTCGTTAGATGTTCTGAGTGCAACGAGAACGGCCTTGTCAAATGCCCCGTTTGCAGCTGCTAGCTACAAATTTATCTCACCTTGGGTGCGTATTGTTTTTATTTTTGGTTCATATAATTTTAGTTAATTGTTATTTCTTGACTTTGGTCTTTTCATTTCTTTTTTGCAGACTTGATCTTTAGGTATTCTAATTATGTAATTTTGATCTGTTTGTTGACTTACATTTAATATTTAATGAATATGTTAATATAATATTCTATTACATTTCACGATAATACTTTCTTACTACTTTCATATTGGTGTATTTTTCTATCATATTCTCACAGCAGCGTTTTTTATTAAATGTCACGTTAATACTTTCATATTGGTATTACATGTCACGTTAATACTTTCATATTGATTTATCGTTAATTAAGGTGTTTTTGAAGCCCAACTTTGTTAAATATAATTGGATAAAGGCCTATTAGGATATATTTTAAAATAAATAGGAGATGGAAGTTAGAAGAAGAAAAGTTCTCTATAAATTAAAAAAAGTTTTGTTAAAAATAGTTTCTTTATAGGTTAAAAATCAGTTTTAAAAAAATTAATATGAAAAAACTTTTACAAATTAACTTATTTATAAGTTAATTTTAATTTTTTTTGTAAAAAATTTTATCCCTGTCAAAAAAAATATTTAATTTTTGTTTTCTTATTTTCCTTTTAAAATATTTATAGATAAGTTTATTCATACATGTCCAAATAACATGCACAATCAAGAAGAAAACAAAGAAAATTTTAGAAGCCAATATATTAAATAGAATGAGTATACTATCAATCATGTAAAAGTATCATTATCCTTGTGAGTTGATCTCTTCTTGAGACATCAATCAAAAAAACTCTTCCACACATGATGATGATGAAAGAAGGCATCTCTTGCTTTTTAATAGAAATAAATAAATTCATTTATTTATCATTCATTCAATTTATTTACAAGTAAATTTATTTAATTCATTTATTATAATTAAATTAAATAATAGATCAAATACAATCCATTCATTTTATTATTAATGGGTGAATTTTTTATTTTAAATAAATTAGATAAATTAAATTTTTATATGAATTTTTTATAAATTTAAATAAATTAATAAATTATTTTTATTCAATTTATTATCATCCGTGAAAATAATTATTCTACCTATCTATTTGTAAGTCCTACTTTTTAGTTGGCAAAAACCGCAGTAGTTACCGGGAAACTCTTCTAGTGTGCTAGGCCTAACAGTGAGCAGTAGTATCAGGACACAGCATAATGTTTATCATTATATAATATATCAAAGAAACTCGAATAGCCCAGACTAAAATAATTTTATGAATAAGTTAACTACCCTTTGTTTATTTTAAGCAGCATACTAGAATACAGTACTTATGCTAAATGATAATTTGATATCATTCCAGAGATGAACCTGTGTCTGATGAGAATAATATTTAAGCCAACGAGGAATATCAAGAGATGATCGTACTGGACCAGAACAGAGAAAAATGAATCTTGATTTATTAAAGACTGAGAATTTCGACAATCGCAACTACTCTCCCAAATAAACTCCGTACAGATTACAGAATAGTTTTTTCTGACTAACTAAATACATGTTACACAGGCCCAAGGGCCTAAGTCCATGGGCCCAAGTACCTGGTTGCTTCATTATTATTTATTTCCTTATCCATACACGATAGTAATTGGGTTACTCTTATTTCTTCTATATTACAAATTTACAATCTTCTGTAGACTATGATTCATTATGTTCGTAACTGCATCTTCAATAATTCAAAAGTGAACCACAGGGTTCCAGTTCCATAGTGATACGAACCTTTTAAGATTGTAAAATGAATAATAAATTGTTTGCTGGAGATTATACTTATTTGAGTTATTTCTGTGCTCAAAATTTATCAAGTTTTTGGGGACCCGCATACCTAATCTCAGTTTAGTAACAAAACAAGAGAGAACCAAAACTACATCAAAATAATAATCAGGTAATATTAAACAGACAATAAAAATAAAGAGAGAAAGAGAAACAATACAATAATAAGACCAAAATTAAATAAAATTTATAAATTTTTCCCATCACGACTATATAAAAATTAAACCTCGGAATCAGAGTGCATATAAAAAGTAACACGTCTGATGAGTCTGTAAAAAGCTATCCATCATTTACGAGTAGAATCTGTTCAGAACCTACATTTCAGATGCCAAAAGTATGCACTCACTTGAAAAGGAAACTACAGAGCCATTTACAGAATAACCTTCCCAAGAAAGATTACAGGTAAAAAACAAGGCGAGTGTTGAACATCGCAAACAAAATCCCACCTCACTCATTGCCCGCATCAAAAGCTTAAACGAGTATCCTTTTGTTAATTAAATTCAGCTCAAAATCAGAAGAACATCAACAGTTAAAGTAGTCAGATGAGTTAGCATATACGCACTTCCTTCACTTCAATTTACAGTGCGATTATGTAGAAGCCTCAGTTATTGAAAGAGCAAAAGGATTCTGGTGCAACCATTGATGATTCATTCACAGGAGTTGCAAAACAAGACTGTAACAGTTGGGTGTAGTGAAACTCAACTTGTAGTAGTCTATGATAAAGGGAGGCTGAAGAAATGAGACCTTTCTTGGCATCAGCTTCTAATTCTCTAATAGGGATTGCAGCTAGGAAGCTTTTAATGTACTCTTTGCATGCTTCCTTCCCTCTGCATATAACTTCTTCTTGCTCACTCCTCAACTGTTCTTCCTCCCCTGCATTATGATCCACTTGTTGAGTTTGCCTGTTATTATGATCTAATGCTTCTACTACAGTTTTCTGGTCATTGGGGGTCTTGTCATCTGATGAATGAGCAGCAACTGTTGGCATTTTGTATATAATCGTGCTGCTGTCAAATTTCAAGATATATGCCTGATTGCATCCTTCCTGAAGCCTCTCTCCCAAAGTGTCAATGATGTAATAGCAATCATATTCAACTTTGAGAATGAAAAAATGATCATTCCAACCAACAATGTAAATGTGAGGTTCACCATTGCTGAGGCCCTCTTGTCCAGCACTACTAATCTCATCCCAAATATTGTCAAAAGACATGGCACCATGTAAGAAGTCAAATCTCTCTTCTTCCATCCCTTCTGGGTGAAAAAAACCAATGAAGGACTTCCCAGGAGCTACAGTAAGTGGACGTACTTTTGCTTGAATGATTGTTTCCAAATCAAAATGCTTGTCAGGAAACCGCTCTCTATAAGTATCATTGTCACACAGGTTCCTCCATTCTGAGGAGCCTTCCCTAATTAGACTATCAAACTGCGACTTTATTGGCATATGATCACGATTGTTTTGGAACCAGTCAGCAATCACAGCAACAAGAGCTGTACATGCACTCTCACCCGCTGCACGCTCACTGCATTGATCAATCGAGGCAAAGAAGACCTGTGTCTGAAGCTTTGTGTAACCATCACGACTCGTGATTTCTTTCTGTTCCCAACTCCCTACAGCGAAACTGTCATCCCCGAATTCAGAAATTGATGATCGATTTGCAGATGTGTCATCCTCAGTCTTGTACCACTGGCAGAAAATATAAAAGGTTAACATGAATAAAATAAAATGTGAAACAAAAATTGCGGAAGTATTTATGACAAAAGTTAATGGCTTATGTAGCATACTTTCATTGAACAATGGAGATTTATACACTACATTTTTTGTTAGTTTACAATCATTACCACTAGCCCACAAATGATGGCCTAGGCTAGATCTGCCCCCAAAAATATCAATTGTGAAGGTTTGCAAACAAAATATGGATTGATACTGCAATGAGAAGTAAACAAGTTTTAAGAAAGAGTCCTCACAGTCAAAGAAAGGGATTCATCTGAGCTAAGTTGACGGCGATCAAAATCTATGTCATCACCGCCTTCTTCTGCATACGCCTTCTTTAGCAATGGCTCTCCCTTATTAGTTTTAGGAGATCTGAAACTCAACTTCCTCTTCCTCCATGGTATTATGCTGCGCTTAGAACTTTTTAATAAATAAAGCTCAGAAGAAGAAACAGTATCCACCTGTGAGCACCCAACATCAGAATTGCGATGGCTGTAGTAAACCAAGTCTTCATCATCACAATTTACTTTCGTATTGGAATAAGAAAATCCCCCAGCATTTGCAGAGGCTAGTGTTCCATAACTAAATGACTTCCTAACACTGAAATCCTGTTTCCCTTCTTCTGTATCACTTTTTTCAGAATCATCGAGAGACTCGGAATCCAAAGGATAATTGTATTCACCATCCTCACTCCTACCTTCACTTCCCTCTTCCTCACGGCATCCCTTTTTTGCTTTCTTGGAAGATACATACTCTGTCAAAATCTTTACTTTCCTAAGGCCAGCTTTAATTGCAGAAACCTCATCTTTCTCTGCCAAGTTTGTTTCTCCTGACTTGGCTAAGGGTGATGCCACAGGCACTATAGATCTCTGAACTGACCCCAAGCTTTCTTGAGCAGCTCTTAGCTCCACGAAGCTAATCGATATCTGCATACAATCAAAGCTATTACAACAAATACAAAGACAGAACCTGAAAGATAGAATTTCAATAATTTTGACTATAAATTGAACCAGCCTACAAACTGTATGGCATGAGATGAAAGAAATCAGGAAAAAATGGGAAAGAGACTCACATAAAGTAATGGAGAAGACTCTGCAGAACCTCCGGTAAGCGCGAGTGGAATGTTTAAATCAAAATCCTTTTGATCAGTTTGAGATGCAAATTTGGAAATGTTCAATAATGCCGTTCCAATAGCAGGAACCTTACTTTTCAGCTTCTGATTCAATCCCTGCAATAGAAAACAAACCCAAATTCTGTTTAGACAAAAAAAAGTAAGAATAATAATAAAATAACACAGTGCCCCTGCCTATTAACCCATGGAACAGGAAAAATAAATGTTTCAAATTAGTCATTAATTAACCTATGACAAATTAAAAAATACAAAAAAAAAAAAAAAAAAACATATCGGCCAAAAAGTCAACCACGGCACAGAAGTTCCCACTGGAAGGAAAAATGAAAAAAAAAAAAAATTTCAAAAAAAGCTCATATCTGCACTCAGAAAACAATTAGTCAACAGAAATATTATCTGAGAGAGACACACAAATTAACGCTCACCTATTCAATAGTACTGTATTATTATGACCCAATTTCATTTAAAAGGGTGGTAGATGGACAGGTGAAAGAAAAGACAGAAGAAAACTCCCAGACAAAGACACATGCAAACCAGTTATCCAAATATTACACAGAAAAAGAGAACGACCGCGACAACCCAAGATAACGATCATCGAAAATTTCAAGAGTCCAGAAAACTATTAAAAAATTAAATAAATTTTTTTAATTAAAAAAAAAACTAGAACAATAATCCTTGTGTTTTGATGAATAAATACTACTGTACTAATTCCCAAACATCCCTAACCCATCGAATTCCAAATTGCAATTTTGAAAGGACTGCGCATATTGTTGAGGCAAATTCGATTGGTTTTAAGGGAGAGAGAGAGACTAACATTAAAGAGAGTGAAAGCGATCTGCCAAGGGTGAAAGACATTCTCCCTATAGCCGTTGAAATTGCAGAAGGCGTGAAACTCCTCGTCCCAGTGCAGGACGGCGGCGCCAGCGTGGTCGAGGCGAACATCCGCCTCTCTAGTAACGTTTTTAGCGACGGAGTTCCGTCGCAGAGAGGGCAGGGTGGACTTAGGACCCTTCCACCGAATCTCAAGGGCCAATCCAGAAGGCTGGCGTAGCAGATCGCAGCCCTGGAGCGTCCTGACAATGAGCCTCACTTGGTACTTTTTCGAGAGGAGGGGCGGCCAGGGGCGCCACCTCATCATCCTGGCCACCATTAGTCTCTTCCTCGTATGGCTATGGCTAAGGTTTGATTTATTTAAGGAGACAGAGGTGAGTTGGTCGATGAATTCAAAGCATGCGCTGCGGAGAGAAAGAGAATGTGACGTTAGTTTATAAGAAGGGTTGGTTGGTTACAAACCCTGTGCTTTCGCCTTAGACTTACTCCTTACTCCTTACTCCTTACCTTAAGAGCCTTTTCAGCTATCCTAAATTTTAGAGATAATTAAAGAGATGAAAAGGGCGAAACGATTATATAATTAGTTAAAACTATCCTAAATTTTATATCAAAAAACTTCTTTTTTAATTTATCTGTAGAACTCGTTACTTGTATATTAAAAAATATCTCTTTTATTAGTTTTTATTTTGTTTCACTGGTCGAAAATGCATTAAGAATATTTAATTAATATTCAAGATTTTAGTTATTAAAAATATAATTAATATTTTAGATTTTTTATTAAAGTTATTGTGCAATTTCTTAATATATCTTTTTACTTTCATATTAATTATACTCCTTTTATATTTTTCACTTCACGATAAATAATTAAGAATAATATAATAAAAATACATTAAATATTTTATTAATATTCTAAGATGACAATCAAAATGGAAGAGATTTTTTCTAAACCATCAAATAAAATAAAATAGAGAAAGTAATATTTAAAGTTTTAACTAATAAAAAAATTGAAAATTTTCGATAAGTTTTAACTAATAAAAAAATGTATTATATATAGTAACATATTTTTTACAAATTAATATAAAAACATATTTAAAAGATTGTGTTAATATCATTCATAATGTTCAAAACTTCAAATAGATGAATGATATTCTTATTCTTATTCATATTCTTGTAGGGTTAAAAGTTAACATGAATAAGCATGGAGTGGCACAGCCGGTATGATTGAAAAGCGTTGACAAAATTTATGCTAAGCTGTATTTTAACAGGCGATCCTACATGGACAACAGACACGCAGAAACAATAACAATTTT